AATTGATTCAGAATGTTTAATGACATTAATGTCAAATGATAAATTTTTATTATTTACGTACCTAGTATTATTTGTAAGTCAAAGAATTTTCACATCAGACTTCCTGTAACAGCAATGATCTCTACAAATCCAAATTCAGCAAAATACAATTCGCCACATATAGTCCTTATCGTGATACCGGCATTTTCATATAGATCACTTATTCACCTATTCAATTCATTACACTTGTGACTCTATAGGACAGCCCGAAATTCAGTGGTGCGAATTCAATCACAAAAAAAGTTGAATAAGTAACGTAAAATTGCGGAGGACATTTTACGTACAATATATTTTATGTGACGAAATTTTAACACTCCCATTCTTAGCTTAGGAATCAATGTGGGTCGGTATTTTTGTGCGATCTAGCGCATTGCGTTTAACTGAACATTTAATTGCGGTATACAATGACGCCACTTTTAAAGAACAATCAACTAAGTCATAACGCAGGATCGTCGGCGAACGTTCGCCATAAATTTCAATAGTTTCTATTGAAAATTGTTGGTTTAATAATATAGATACAAAATTAATCTGATTAAAACAAAGTGGAAATAAAGATTTAAAAAAAAAGGGCTAATTGTAATTGAATATGTTGACTGCTTTGTATAAATGGTTATTTGGTCAAAAAGTTTCTATTAACAAAATTTGATTAACAAATTTGATAACAAATAAAAAGAAGAAATTGTAGTAAGAAATAAACTAAAATAATTATTCAGTTGTTGACAGTAGCACTATAAGAAAAATTAGCAGACGTTTAAAAATGGAACAAGTAAATAAGAAAACACATGTCACTCGCTAACATGTACTGGAATATCATTGCGTGCATGCTGTCATTTGTAGTTCTGTTCAACTTTTATTCCTCCTATGCTTATGATCCAAATGATTAAAAGCTAGCTCGGTTCTACCGCCCAAAGGTATGTCTGAAGCCTTTTACCCGCGTGAAATGGATGGTGTGCCAAATAGTGGATACAAAGAATGCAGCCGCTCATGGCTATCGTTTTGATGGTAAAAGACGTTTTAATTTTGATTAGAAAATTTTGAATAAAAAAATAGATCATTCTTGATATCAGCGATGTATTATTTAGATTATAGATTTGGCGATACTTCTTATCCAAAAATATAGTCTTTATTTCGAACAGTTAACATTACGTTTCAAATTTTCTACAATTAAGCGAAATCATTATGTGAGGATTTCAAATGAATGTGTTGAAAAGAAATAAATACAGTTGATAATAAACATGAGCAGCAATTCGGAGCTGCGCATTGGCAATACAAAACTTTGCCGTATATCACGCCAACTTTATAATTATAATTCCAAGCCAGTTCGGTGCCTGTTGATATAAAAGATAAGGCAAAATGTGTTAAAATAAAACAAATAGGTATTCCCCCAAGGAGTGATTTTAGCATCCGTTGCAAAGCAAGCTTCATCCTTACCTTATAACGCGAAAGAAAGTGGTAGCAGGCAAATATCGCGCTGAGATATATTAGAAGCAAATCGCTTATTTGGGAAATCAACCAAAAGTTCGATTACAGTAAGCCGCTCCCACGTGAACGTTAGGAAGATTCGAAGGATTTTACGCATGGGGAAACCTACATTAAATATCATGAAGATGGTATAGAAAAACCATTTGCAATCTAAACTAGAACAACAAATGTAGATTTGTACATTTTCGTAATTTCCATAAAAATTATTTTTTGCGTTATTAAGAAGATGACCAAAGACCTTCTCTTTGAACTTGTACTTTTCCCTATCTAAAAAAAGTTAGTAGGAGTAATGATATGCGGGGGATATGGGAAGGTTTGAAAGAAATATTTAGAACAATCGATATTTTGAAGAAAAAAAAAGAAAAACGACACGTTCAAAGCATTTAATTATTTTTTTCGTTACAACAAATTAAAAATAAAACTGAACCCTAAAAAACTAAATTTCTGTTAAATAAAAAAAATATTTAAACTTTGCGTGATTGCAAAACGATCTGAACTTCAAAAAAAGAAAAGCAAACAAATCCAACAGTTTTTTAAAAAGGGTCATCATATGTGGACAACAAAAATTATAACTGCCGGTGATGCGGCAAATTCAAGTGATTGCTGAAAAATTCTCCCTGTCATACGTTTCTATGTGACCAGAGTGTTGTTTTGCACAAGCCATTTTACTCTAAACCATCAATGCATTTCTGATACGTTAGCTGCTTTTTTTTTTTTGTTAAACGAGCACGAAATCTAAAAGCTGGCCAAAATAATGAAAGAGACTAACGCTTTTGTTAATACACAAGCAATAACGCGGAAGATGTATTAAGGGATTAAATAAAAACTTAAACTTGTGCGAATAGTTTAAGAAAGCGTTTAACGAGATTCCCAATATATACAAAGTTTCATTAGCATAACGTGACCGTAGTAGGAAAACTTGCAACTCCATTGCACTTCGCTTTTTTAAACACTAATTTGTAGAGAAATTATTCCTTATAGGAATATTTTTTATTGTTCTGATTTTATATATTTATTTTTTTTTTTTTTTAGCTGGGCAAGATTTATTGTATCGAGTAGAACCACAAAACAGGCAACGAGTTGCACTACAATCATGAATGCATGCAGCCAGCCGAGATGTTACCGCATTTCAGACAACGCGTCTCTACTGCCGGCAAAATTTGCAAAGTATCCAAAGCGACCACACTGCCAGCACTACTTTAAAGTCGGCATGAAAAAGTTAGCTTGTAGGATACAGTAATTAAAGAATTGGGTATATTAGTTCCTTTGAAAAAAACCTTGACATTGGACTCACTTAAAGCGGCAATTTTGTTGAAGAGAGAGCGGTCTAATCGCCATGATTTTGATTACTTCGTAGGCAGTGATTATTCTAATTATGTGCACAGGTGTGGAGGAGTGAGACTCGTTTATTTTCCTCTACGTTCATTTTAATAAATTTCATGCATTATTACACTTTATTATATGCCGGAAATTAGCCGAAATATCATTATGGAAATCGAAAAACTCATACGTCAATTTTTTATGTAAACAAACACATTACGGCAATAAATGTTATGTCTAAATTTTGAATTTAGTTCTCTTCTTAGAGTAATCCAAACGTAATTCCATCTTCATATTATCCTCCAAATCCTCACTTCAAACAGTATAAGGGTGACCTTTTCAATAGAGCTACGAAGTTTGCTTTCTGAAATTTCAAACCATAACTCTTATATATAAATGCCAATCAAGTTGTACGCAATACTGTCAAATTTTAGCTAGAAAACACTGCACAAGCGCGTATATTTGAAGTGATTTGGTAAATAAATATATTAAGATATATTGCAAAATCTAACATGTAGTCAATTGTTTTTATCCCATTTTTAGATTAAAACCCATTAATGCCTTATTGCTTCCTCGTGCTAAGGTATTATTCTATTTTAGTTTATTTTGTGTTTTATTTTCAGTCATATTTGTCTCTGTAATATTCCTTTTTTGTTTTCAGCCAAAGTTTGCAACACTTTTTTTTATATTATTTGCAACCACTCAACAGTCTACAATTATATTTAACAAATCTAATGGCTTACTCCATCTCTCCTCCACTTTTTTATTCAGATCTTCAACAACTAATTTAAATGCTTTGCATTTGGCTGGCTAATGACGAATTACTGGCTGCTCTCTTAATTGGTTCTTCACATACTTACTGAATATCTCCTCAAATTCCGTTAATAATCTAGCAATAACAGTATGTTAAGATGAAGAAACTGTAAAAGTAGTGCGAACCTAATGTTTCAAATTTTTGATCGATCATAAATAAACATATAGCGTCTTAAGCGCGGGCGTGACAACGTTCCCATAATGTCCGAAAAGGTCCCCTACATGGTTTGCAGTAAACAATTTTTGATTGGAAGCCCAAAAGCGTCATGTCAGCAACGTGCAAGTTATGACTCGATTAATTTGTTCGTATGCTAAACGTAATAAATGATCTCCTAATGTATCTTACGAGTACCAATGGTATCCAATAGAGGGAGAAAGATTTGAATTTTTTAATAAGGGTTGTTGATTATTAAACCTTATTATTACCACAAATATTTGCATCATTCTTCTTCACATTTATTGATATTGACTGAAATGATAGCTTATATCAAATTAATGTAAGTTTTTCAGCCATTAAGGTTACGTTTATAAGCAAATCGCGGCTATGATGAACTACTTATGCGTTATTACGGCAACCTTCCGAACTGTATTGAATTTCTCTGTATCATCTTTTGAGGACCAATTTGAACATTGATTACAAAAACATCCGTTTCGTTTACTAGCAACGTTTCTTTGTGTGCTGTGTTATAAGAGGCAAATTGCGACTAAAGCAAAGCACAAACTGATGTCCCTTTTACTTACACTGTACACCAAATTATTTATCGTAACATCAATTGATCACGTTTCTTCCCAAAAAAATTTTGAATTCAACTTTGTCTAGAATTAATTTTTTTCAACATATGTTTTATTTTCAATATTTTTCATATTGTGCTTATGTTTGATTTATTTATTATTTCAAATTGAATGCTTTCCATTTTACTGGTAAAATAATAATAATTTTAAAAAAATGAAAGAGGGGCCAAGTTTGTACACGTATAAAATTTAACCATTTTATAATTTTTAATGGAGTATTCGTTTAAGTATTTAGTTAATTCAGGTATCAAAGAGGAAGAAGAAAGAAAGGTTAAACGTTTACACAAAATCTGTTTGCACATAATGTCAACTCAAAAAACGAGGTTAATTTAAACAAAAACAAATGTTATTTACAAGACGTTTCTTTCGTTATTTAAATGTATTTTTTAATAATACTCGTTGGCTTTTCATCGCACGCCCTTTATATTCTGTATCACCTTTTTAGGATTCAAATTACTTTGCCATTGGCAACACTATTGCATTGTTCGTTATTCGTGTAAATTGGTCGTCGGGTATCGCAGTAGTGACAAGTATGCAGTGTGTAGAAGTATAAGAGACAAGTTTCCCTTTTGTTGTTTTTATTAAATAAAAATCGAAAAATAATAAACTCAAAAGTGTGCACTTTTTCTTAATAAACAAAGTAGCAAAAAAAGTTAAACTAAGTGAAAGGAACCAAAAAATCGTAATGTTTTGAATTTTTACTTATGCTTGGAAAGAACGCAATAATTAGAATTCGCCAAATAAGGATAGAAAACTTTGCAATCAAGTGACAAAAACGAAACAAGAAGTGAACACAAAATATATTAGGCGTCTTTCAAAGTGAAATTTAAAAACGATCACAAAGGTGAATTGTAATTGAAAATCGATGTAAAAAGTGAGAAAAAAGTGTAGAAATTCTTCACGAAAGGTTGAGAATTCTGGGACAATGGTTTTCATATTAATTCAAGTAACGAGCTCTGCATCAAGACGATTAGAAATAATGCGATTACATTATTTTTCTTTCATTTGTTAGTTAAAGGGACCTGCAAACATTGTTGAAGAAACAATTGAAAAATTGAAAATTTTTGTATCAAAAAATTGAAAAATGAATAATGAAAATCTTGAACAAAGGAATAAAGCAAAAGAAATTACGCATAAAGAAAATAAATTTTATGGCAAAGTGTGTATCACTTTGATAAGTGCAAGAAGTTTGTGCTGTGTTGCGTCTTATTCGGGGTTTATTTCACTATGGACGTTGTTGTTTTTGAATTTTTGAATTTTGTTATTATTTTTGGTTTTATTTAGCGATTCCAAGTACATTTTGTTATTACTTTTCGTTTCTACTCGTAAGTTTGTGTAAGAGCGCGAGTGTGTGCATGAGTATATAGTTGCCTGAAAAGGAATACAATGAAAATCTGGGCATGACTCTACGTTTTCTCTTATACGTGAGCTCTATAAATTCTCAAACTTCTTATATCGTTTCTTAACAAACTTTTATTGTCTAAAAATATTCTCATATGTTTTCTAAAATATCTATATTCTAAGTTTCCAAGTCTTTTTTATTACTTTGCCTACTTTAATGAGTTTGCACTGTTGTTGACATTATTATTTACCACACATCGTCTGTTGCCATCATCGTTAGGATGTCTTTTTACGCGTTTTTTAGTTCAGCTGAAAATTAGATTTGTTGTTAAGTGAAATATTAGTAACAGTGTGTGCGCGTGTTTTGCTTTGTAAATAATTATTAAATTTATACATAAGTATGAAATTTAGGTCATCGTAACCTTGACCATTTTATTGCGCATATGTTTTATAATACTCACTTTATTATTTCCCTTTTTTGCAATAAAAATATTAAATGTTTTCCGTTTGCTTGGTTTTCACCAATATTGTGAGTCCTAATGGAAGGAAAAATAAGTGAAAGAGGGAGCAAAGTGCAACTATTGATTTTGATCGTAGGGATTGTTAATTGATTGTTATTCAATTCGTAAAAAAACTAGAGGAGAAAAGACAAGTAAAATAGTTTTGCCAGGCATAGGCTGCAGTTGAGCACCACTCCGCACGATTTCGTCTAATAATATTCAATCATTTTTTACTTTCATAGAAAGTCTTGAACGTCAATTGACATGGGCTACATTTAGCATAACTTTAATTTTCTTCTTTTTTTTTTTGAAAATGTAATTACTTTTCACCTATTTACGCCATAAAAATAAAGCATGACTTGTCATAAGAACTGGTGATATTTAAAAAAAAGCGGACCTATGTAACACACACTTCTCACGGTTACAGTCCAAAAAAGATCCATGTGACTCAAATTTGACCTAACTTTTATGTTAGATTGATTGATTTTCATCATACTTTTGCTAATGTGCAAAAAATAGATTCATTTAATGCAGTTGCGATTTACATAAAATTGCACTCATGGCTCAGTCGTCGTCATAAGATATTAAAGATTTTACATTTTGGCCACAACGACTTATTTTTCTTGAAAACTTAAAACCGCAAGATAGACCTGTTTGGTGTACAACTACGTCGAAAAAAAAACATTAGTATTCTAAATATGCGAAAATTGCGATCTGAAAAGTAACCACAAAAATACATGCACAGACATCAGAGGGACAGACATAATTGAAACTTAAATTGTGGCCTCACTTTACGCTGTTCTGGTAATTATATGTGCCCGCACGAACTTAATATACGACAGAGTAATAGGAAACGAGGAAAAGCTGAAAAGTTTTTTTTCAGTGAGGCAAAAATATATGCACCGTTAGTACTTTTTGTTGCTTTCTGTAAAAAGTTGGAACAACACATAAATGTGTTCGTTTTTTGACTCACAATCCACTTAACAATGTCGAGTGCGAGTTATTGTCAATAGCAAAAAAGGGCATGATCACCGAAACAGTTCAAATGAAACCAACAGGAACCAGCAGGTTTGAAATTTAAAAAAAATCAAACGTCATTTGCTTTATCCGCCTGCCTTCGCTCAAAATTGTTTACCATTATTTCCGCGTTATTAAAATACCGACAAAGCATATCAATATATATGTAAATTGATGTTGTTGTTGTTGTTAACAATGTAAAAGTGTTTTATTTCTTTCTTCGGCATTTTGAGCATAAATACAACATTTTTTCGCTACGTTTATAAAATCTTTTGTAGCCATTTTTTATTATACTTCTCAACAAACGACTCAACCCATTCTTCTTCATTACATAGGACTGTTCGTTGGCTAATTGCTAATTAACCGAAAATGGAAAGTGGAAACGGAAACGATCAACATGCATCACCGTCGTTAGCTTCGGCTAGTAGCAGCAATAATAGCAGCAGTAGTAATATTTTAGGAAATCTAGCATTGTTACCGTTTATCCAGGCGAATGATGAAGAACCTACAAATGAAAATGAATTCAACGAAGAATTGACGCCTTTGCAGCCGTTTTCGGTCACATCTAGAGCCGATTCAGAAGGGCGTCCGAGCGATGAACAACAGCGAACGGCGGTTATACCTTTTACTACCACGGCATCACTTTTAGTTCAGACACCAACTACATTATTAGGCCACACTTCTTCTAGTTCTTCCCCCCAGACAACGTTTGCCCCATTTTTGTTTAATGTCAGCAACACCGTCAATTCCATCGATCAATCCAATCAGGTTAATTTTTCTTTAGCTTCCACACCGCTTTCGTCATCTAATTCAACATCGACTACATCCCCATTGTCGTCATCGTCAGTTTCTCACATTTTAGAACCATCTGGTATAACACGCCAACAACAACAACAACAACAACAATCATTAACGTCAACATTAGCATTGCCGCAGAGTCAACAAACATTTATTCATGAGCACTCTCCTTCTCCTTCTCTTACCATCCAGCAGCAACAGCATCATCAAGCTTCATTACAACCTTCAATTCCTTCCCTAAGCTTAAACGAAGCAATCTCCGCTCCGCAGAACCCAGAAAGACCAGTGATTGCATCTCGACAATTTAATGACGGACAACAACATTTGATTGCCGACACTATCGACGCCTCTGCAATTGTGCAATCTATTGTAGCCAATGCTAACCGTGAAGATCAACACCAAGAAAGGCAGCTTGTAGACCCAGATAGTATACGTTTGGATGATAACTATAACAACGATTTCAATATCGACTTAAACGCTGTTAATGAAGTACAACAACAACAGTTGCGGCACATTTCATCTCCACCATTAGATACTTCCGCTTCAGGTTCTGGTGCTCATACGAGTAACACCGACTCACCATCAACATCACTGCCTTTGTTGTTACATCAAGAACAACAACAAGCGGAAGAATCTAAACAAACACCGTCCTATTCCTCGTCATCCTCCGCTTACGTGCACCACTACTATCAACACTACCATACACCTCCGTCATTGTACTCATTACAATCTCAACAGCAGCAACAATTCCACCACCGTCATCATCATCATCACCATCATCCCTTTAATTTACACACACATTCACACCCACGTCCGCGATTACCCGCGTACTGCGACTTTAGTGGTACTGTTACAAATCAAATCCCAAACAGCACTGAGGCCATGTTCAGTAACGTTAGCGAAAGTGCTAATGGCGTTTCTGTTGGCGCAAGTGCCATCCATACTAATGCCGCCAACTCATCAGGCACCAACAGTGTTCAAATCGTCGATCGTTTAAAACTTTTATACCCGAATGTTAACGAAGTAGAAACTCCTTTGCCACGCTGTTGGAGTTCTCATGACAAATGCGTAACTATTGGATTGTCACAGAATAACTTAAGAGTTCAGTATAAAGGTCGGTTTTGCATCTCTCAAGTCCATCACTGATTTTCCCTTACACTTGTAATTTTTTTTTTCGAATTTTTAGCTGGCGCGGTCGGTGTTGGTAAACCTCAGAACGAGGCTGCTTCAGTACGCACGGCTCATCCCATTCCACCGGCATGCGGTATATATTATTTTGAGGTTAAAATTATATCGAAAAGTAAAAATGGTTACATGGGTATTGGTTTAACAGCAAAACAGTTTCGCATGAATAGATTACCCGGTACGCCCATTGGTTTTTCATATTTGCTATTGTAGAACAAGATTAAAGAGAGATCTAATTCCACAGGATGTGACAAAGAATCATATGGTTACCACGGTGCTGAAGGTAATTCATTTTCATCAGCAGGTCATGCTCAATCGTATGGTCCGACATTTACCACGGGTGACATTATAGGTTGTTGTATTAACTTTGTGAATAACACTTGCTTCTACACCAAAAATGGTATTGATTTGGGCATCGCTTTCCGAGATTTACCAGTAAGTTTCTGCTAATCGAACAGAACATTCGAACATTTTAACCCATATTTATTTAATTTCAGAGCAAATTATATCCAACGGTTGGTTTACAGGCGCCAGGAGAAGAAGTCGATGCAAATTTTGGGCAAGAACCTTTCAAGTTTGATCAAATTGAAGAATTAATGAAACAATTGCGGGCCGATATGAAAGCTACCATATACGATTTTCCTTTGCCAAGTGATCACGATGATCCTACCACTTTATTGCAGAAGTATTTGAAATCTTTATATCCAAAATTTTAAATTACTCATGTTTATTTAACAGGATGGTCTCTTCCTATTTGGTGCATAATGGTTACAGTCGAACGGCTGAAGCTTTTTTCCGCACTACCGGGCAAACTATCCGTGAAGACATGGCCTCCATACGCAACCGACAAAGTATGCCTTCCATTAGATGACTTAAAAGCATAGATTTATGTGTAAAAATTCTATACCACAGAAATTTTAAAGTTGATTATGTCTGGCAAAATGGGACAAGCGATTGACCACACCTTACATTCTTATCCCGGCCTGTTGGAAAGTAATAAAAATCTCTGGTTTATGCTGAAATGCAGGCAATTCATAGAAATGATTAACGGCTCCGATGTCGAGGTAGAGCACGCATATTTGTCGTACTTATTTGTGTAATTTTCATTTACAAAAAATTCTGCTTCCCAGCACTGCCCTAGTAACAAAACAGCACCTGTTTTAAAAGCAAGTGTTGCCACCACACATCATGCAGGTACGACACAAACTGAGATATTTGCTTCAAATCAATCGGCTGCTTCATCAGCTGCAACAACAACAGCACCACCTAATCAAACTTCAGTTATACAGTCAACAAAATCTTATCAAAACGGCAACAGTCGTGATATCAGTTCAAATGGCACCACACAACTACAAAACCAGAGTAAAGATAATGGTAATGAAAAGGAGAATGATGATAGTACGTCAATAAATATGGTAACAATAACAGAAACTACAAATAATGCACAGAACTCAAAACATACAGCTGTGATAAATGCAGATAATGAGTTAAAAAATCAAACGTAAGTACAATTCACTTAATGTTACGCGTTCTAATAAACCACCAGAGCAACGGGCAATATTAACTCTTGCAAGGTTCCTAGTAACACGGTTCTACAGTGTTCTTATGACCCGAAGACAAGTTTGATTTAATATATTTAATTTATTTTCGCTTCACACTTCAAGAAGACAATTTGGGCTAGTAAATTTATCAGAAATATCAGGAAACGATAAAATTATGCATATACTTGATCGGAGTGAAATTCTGATTAAATGAATCATATCTTTACCGCTTTTAACGGAAAACTTATTGCATTGATTCTAAACATATAATAACACAAAAAAAAGATGCTGCAAATGTTGCATTCTCCAAATATTCGTAACAGATATTAGAATCTTGAATTTGGCGTAGCATAATTTAATAGCAAATGTTACATGCAATATTACTATTTCATTTCTTAAATTATACAGGAAAACTACCTAAACTTTTCTAATTCTTTTACTAAACTCAATACTTTTTGAATGCAGAGTTCCATAAAGTTATGCGTAAAATTTCTCCGAATCGACCAATCAACTCAACAACAGCTGACAGAAAACTTTAAAATTTACATACACTCGTCTAAATTACTTGTTAATTTCTAAAGATGTTAACAGTGTTAAATTTTCCAGTAATTTAGTTGATCAACGTTCAACTTCCGGTGGAATCTCCACAACAAATGCTAGTAAATGTAATGATAATGATTATATGAACGATGTCGAAATGGAAAGCAATGGACATACGACAAATGGTGAGAATTAATTTCAAAAACATATAGTTTTTTGCTCCATTAATTACCCGAATGAAGTAAATTAGAATGTTAAAAATTGCAGATTTATACTTTATACTTGTTCCTAATATAACTTAGACCTTAAAATAGTTCTTTAGTTAACGTTATATATGAAAAATGTGGAGTGAAGGAATAAGCAGCATGATGCGCGTTTTCGAATCGTTGACTTAGCGTCAAACGTAAGCCGTGTTGGCGTTGGCCGATTCCTGAGATTGGCGTCCCCAAGACTCTTTTTATGCCGAATTGCTGCAGTTGTGAAAATTAAGTTGAAATTTTGATAGTGTAGAAATGTTTTTTGACTGATTAAAAACCAAAGATTGACAAACGGTTCTATTTTGAGATAACCTTCAAAAAAACACCAGCAAACTTTTCATATTATCGTATGCAATTTTCTATCCCGTAATGGTGTTTCGGCAAACTTACTACCCAAGTTCTCATCAAAATTATTTGAGCAAAAAGAATGTTTGTGTCGAGTGTTAGCTTCCTTTCTTCACTGTGGCCATTCCGCATAAAATCAAAATAGTTCCGTTTGATAGAATTATGTATCTGTCATCGGCAATCTGGAAAATTAGGGGTTCAAAGAACTGATTGCCGTACATTCAAATGTCTTTTCGCAGAAATTATAACCACCAAAAATTTTCAGCTCACTACGTAAGGTACGTGCTTTATAAATATTTTTTTGAACATTGGAAATTAAAAAGGATCAAAATAACGTACTCAGTAATTCTAGTCTTCGACCGCGCAGATTCTGATGACTTGCAAAAATTTTTCTTTAAAAAAAAAAACAAATTTACCCATAAAGAATATTCAAGAAGCAAGCGAAGATTGGTGTCTCCTATGAAGAGCTCCTATGGGAGCAAAGTCGCACTTACAACCCTTGGAAACGACAATAACGTAGACACTTAAGTAATTAGCATTTGTATAGCCAATATACCCAATAAAGTAAAAACGAAAAATACTTATCTACTCTTTAATTTTGTTTATTCATTTACTTAACTATTCATTCACTTTTTTTGTTGCTTAAAATTACATCAGACTTTCTTTTTTAGGGGAAATTTGCAAAAACGGTAACCCAAACAATTTTAACGATTCTATTGATACCGATGAAGAAATGGGTAAATTAAAATTTGTCACACATTTTGCTAATTAAGAAAATGTCTTTTACTCTACTTAAAAAAAGATGTAGATATCGCACCTACTCCTCGAAAATGTACGAATGGCATCGAAAGAATATTGGAGTTTGGCAAGGATTTATCACAAATGGGCCAGCAACTAGAAAAGGAAAACAAAATGACTGATGAAGATCGTCAAATGTTACAAGTAAGCTAAAAAAAGTTTAATTTTTTAAATTTTATATATTTTGCTTCCATGCTTTCAGGATGCATTTAGCTTAATTGCTTACTCAAACCCCTGGTCAAGTCCTTTAGGTTGGCAGCTATGTCCCACAAAACGAGAGACTGTTTGCACGGCTTTAAATTCAGCTATATTAGGTAAGATAGGAGTTTAATAGCACGGACATTGGCTACAAGGTTTTTTGCTGTTTTTACAGAATCCATGTACTACCCTAGACGTCCTCCTTTGGATTATTGTGTAGCTCATGCCAATGAACTACTCAAAGTCATGGCTCAAGCTTCTTTGGGAGCTTGTGCTTTTGTTAATATCAACGATGTGTTCCCAAAGAATTGACCCGCGCAACTTTAGCTGAAATCGGGCCTAAAAATTCCCTCGACTGTTACTATTTCCTCCTTAACCGATTACAACTCCTGTTATTCCTTCATTACCAGCTCCTCTTATCTTAAGGTCAAATTACCACCAGTTATCGCAAATTTCACTACAAACTGTAACGCTTATGACACAAAATCTAAATCAGCAACAACCAACCGTAAAAATAATACCGTCTCTACATCCTCCATCTTGTTTTAATTGAGTTCAATACAGAAACAAAAACCTACTATTTTAAAAGATTTCATGCCGTTAATTTCAACCCTATTCTTAAAAAACAAAAGAAATATTTTTATTAAAACAGAAACATTTGGAAAAAACTTGTACAATTTTTTTCTTGAACAACTCTATATTTATATAAAATAATCCAAAGTATAGGAACGATTTTCCATGGTTTCTCTTAAAACACATTAATTTTTCATTTAAATATTTTTAAAATTATTAACTTCGGTTTAAAAAAAAAGATATGTAGTCAAATTTTTACTTCAGCTATAATCGTGTATGCTACAAAGAAAGTTTTGCTTATATCTTAACTTTGTATTGAAAAAAATAAATACAAATTTTTTAAATTTAAGAAAAAAGGCAAATCTATTAGCTTTTAAGCGCATATATTTTTAGTGTATTTTAAATCAATGATTATATAAAATATTAACAACAACAGTAATCATATTTAGAAATGAAATCAATGCCAGCAGCAACCACAACAAAAAATCTTGAATTAAACTTAAAGTGTTGTTCGTGTGTAATTAATAATTTAAAGTAATTTTAAAAGAAAATCAGTGGTAATGATTAAAAAATGTAGAATTTGCTTATGTACCATAAGGTGCATTAATTACAATTACGGAAGTGTAATCAATATAAATTAGCTTAAATTGATGTCTTTTACAAATATTATATTTAAAAAAAGGAAATTAAAAGAGAATTCTAAACAAACAAGTCGACAGCAATAATATAAAACAACAATTCAAAACATACAATCTACTATTTAGTTTTGTTTATATATATACATGCAAACGTATATAAAAAGGTATATCTAAAGAAAAGCAAAGAACGCGTCTCTTGTTACAAAAACCATCGAGAAGGGTTTAAAGTAGCTTCAATCGAAATAATTTCTATGTAAAAATATTCTAAAAGCAGTCAAAGCAATTTTAAGATTGTTAGAGACAACAAGAAATAAGTTAATTAATAAATAATTACGAATTAAGAAAACAACAATATATACATATATAAATTATTATGAATTATCCAGATAAAAAATTGCCAGTCTTTTTTTCAAATTAGAAGCAAGAAGATTACGTTTACTCGAATTTCGCCTTAGGCCGAGTATTTTTCATTCTATCGCCTTTACGGCAAAATGGAATATTTAAATATTCACTGCTCCACCCATGTTTAATTTTGAAAGCTTCCTATGTTCTTAATTTATATTGCACAGTAAACGCGTCATTTGGCGGATGTGGCCCACTTTCCACATGCGTGTACCAAGATCCAATGCGTTTGCGAATTTTGAAGACGGAGTCGCTTTTGCGGCCAGAAATTTATTTGCTACTATGGAGTTTGCTGAAGTCGATTCATTGTTTGATGCTGGATATATGCCTTATTGAGTCTCTAACGCTTGCTTTTGGGTGTTGCAATTGGCAATTTTCATCAGGATATTATGGAATATGAAATATTAAATTCAACAGAGAAGATTTATTGCTTTTAAAGAAGACGAGTATTATCTTACAAACGATAAAAATATTCGACCTACCTTCTTCAAAAACACATGTCAGAAGAGAGAGAGAGCGCTAAAATAATTTATTAAACCGATGACCAAGCTCAACTTCGAACTAGTGAACTTATGAAAATAGCCAGAAGGGTATGTCTTTTTCATACATTGTTTAACTATTTTTGCCATAACCAGATAGGATATATATATAATTTTTTGTGTTGCTACAAAAGAACTCGAATGTGTTAAATAGTTGCTTGAGCGGCCACTTCTTTTAAAAGCAGACTCAAAATTTCTTTTGCTTTTATTAGCGATGGGACAACGAAAAGCGTCAGTCCCTTTACCCGCTTCAGGTACGTTTTGCCTTGTAGCCCGGTCAGCAAACATTTCACTGCATTGCTTTTCAGCCTTGCTTTTCTGCACATGGAATCCACAACCACACGTTTGTTTTTAAATACATTACCCTGTAACGAGTCGTCTTGGGCAGGGTATACTCAGCTAATCCAGGACTCTTTCCAAGAAAATTTATAGTATAAAAATAACTTGGACCTTCGGTTTTGTTCTTATGTTTCTATTTATTATTACAATGATCAGCGATCTTAAGAGGAGTAGGAGAAAAAAAACCAGCGTGGTGATCCGACCTTAACGTTTTAATATTTCTTATTTGAACGATTATTATTATATTTACTTTTCCACGTTTCCGTAGCGCGAGTTTGCTTGGTTGCTACCACACAACTGAAAGACTGAGCGTGGTGCGAAACGCTCTTTTATAGTTGCGATCACCATCGCTGTCCCATTACATGTTTTAGACTATATTCACTTACATATGTATTATGACGATATTCTTACACATCTGTATGCTAACTTAGGTTCGATCGAACATATTTGTTCAGCTCTGACTTTTATAAAAATGCTTCTCTTATGTATATTTAGCGTTAATACTATCTTACGTACCAGCTCGTATGATTTTATTGCTAGTGTTTGCTTGTATGCCTACCCTTTTTCCATTTGTTTTACCGCTACTCGGTATGATTCTGTACAACGCTAACCCAGGTACTGAATCGTATGATTTGGTAACCCCTAGGTGTGTGAATGCTACTCTCGCTATTACCTTACCATCTGTCTACAAAATGTTTCCTTAGAAAAATTCGTGCATATTGTTTATAGGCATTCGCGGCTCTTGTGTGAATGGGCCAAAGCCATCTTTTATAAATCCCTCAAAACTTATTTATACACATATGCAAACTGAGCAACTACATGCATATATCGTGCGGCCGCACAAACGAGTATATTAGAAAATGGAAGTAGCCCTGTTTTCTTATTATTTCGGGAGTAAGGTTTTATAGGGTTTGCATTTAACATAACATTCCTTACATAATAAAATGTATTCTTTTAGGTTGATCCAATATACAAATTTTTGGCCCGCATTGTATTCTGAATGAACTAGGCTTCTTTTTGTGCAGCATTTTTTTTATCGGATATTAACTCCAAAATTTGTGTTTAAAGAATGACATGACGTTAGCGTTATTATAAATATTTCCATGTTTTGTAATTTTTCTGTCTTTATTTGGTATTCGACGGGGGATTCTTAATTTATTTGGAAATTGATGGACCTTTGTCTTCAGCACAATGATTAAATCATTACTTTTTGAAATCTCAAAATTTTGGAATATCTGTTGTCAATCATGTTAGACAGTTTTTTTATATCCCTTATTCGTGTTAAGCAAGTGCCTTTCTTAACAATATTTTATTTTCTTTTGTCATTCAATACCCTTCTCGACGGCAATTTTACGTGCGAGAAATTTTATGGTAGCTATCGAGAAAAAATTCTTAGCGCTAGCAGGAACTATTCGTTGCCCTACAAGTTACCCGGGGTCGGCCGCCATAAAATATAAATAAAATAAAACAATATAGTCGACATAAACACAAACAAAATCGAGAGCCTTTTTGTGCACTAATTGATCCATCCACTCTCTAATAGAACAATTTGACTTTCAAACAAATTGTCTTAATTGCTTGTTTTTTATTGCCTACGAAGTAAGGCAAATCACAGACGCAAATGATAGATAAAGATTAGATAAATCACTTTAGAATTTAAAAAAAACGATAATCACTTCTTGGGGCCTTTTTTCTTTTTGTTTTATTTGTATGTATTCGTGCAAACCCATTTGCCAATTGCCAAAAAGTGTTATAAAAACCCGGTGAAGTTGAAGTGCCAATACGAAATCAGGAATAACGTATTATCGTGTCAACCCCTTTAGGCCGTCTGTATATTTTCAGAAAGAAAGTAAATACAGATTTCAATTTTGCTAGCGTCCAGCGTATTCATATTACTCACCCTACATCATCACACTTTCCAAGTCTCATCATTTGGTTATTTATTAGTTATACTGCTTTTTTAGTTCTGTAAACTAGCATAATTTGTAAAGTATGGTCTGACCTCAACGCTCTACTATCTTGCTCGCTTTCAGTTAGACGAAAGAAGAATTAAAACTGACGAATTTAATAGATGAAATTCTCATCTGCGAACTTTCGTATCAGGTTCCAATTGACTTAAATAATTTCGTTATAAGGCACTCCTTAAATTTTATGAAAGGAAGTCATTCAAAATTTCATTGATTCGCAAAAGTTGGAAAACATAGACTCGTTCATAGACTTTGGATTTTTATTTGATAGGAGATTACTATTTAATGGGACAAAAGCTATCAAATACATTTTCTAATTTCTGTCATTTGGGATAAAATTAGCTCACGTTTTGCATTATCATTGGCAGAGTCGCATTAATAAGAAAATGTAGTAGTAAAAGAGCAAATATCATACATTTGAATCTATTGCGCTTTGACACTTTATTAAAATTTTCTTTCTACACGAAACTCGATTTAACACAAGCTAAAAATAAAAAATTTTCTTTTCACAAGAATAGCTTTGTTTTAACACGGTTTTCAATATTCTCTGCATCTTTTTAAAAAGGTTTTTAACTGAATTTTTCTGATACATTTTTTTTTTTGGGGGGGTTTCTATGAATTTTTTCATTGTCATTCTTCACATTGTAACTTCGTGCTATACTTTTCACAATTCACTTGAATTATGTGGATTATGTATATATATGAGCGGGACACCCTGAATTATGCATAAAGCAAAGACTTAATGTATTGTGAATTAAAACTTGTCCGCACGAAATAAATTCGGAAGTGAACTCTAACAAGAATTTTTAACATTGTGCATTGCTTTCTTAGTTGTGGAACGAATTTAGTATTTTTCCATTTAGGCAATATCTTTTTTTACCTGCATTTTTTACACGAATTTTTTGGGAATCTATCTATCGTGTAAAAAAGGAATTACGTATACTTGGAAGTAATCACGTACTTCAAGGTCATTTTATATTTTCGTTTTTAGCTTGATTTGGGATAGCGTTTGCGATGCGTGTGCATTCATCATAGGTTGATGATTATTGGTTTTTTGGGATCACGTAAGCACAATAGCTTTTAAATACAATCTCTCATATTTGTCAAATTAAGGGAAAACAAAAAAAAGAAGAACTAAAAAAGAAAACAAATGTGAAATTTGTAGATGATAAATCGCGTCCGTGTTCTCACTTGCTCTTTTTAGCTGTATTCGACATGTCATCCGCAGACGATATACCTCTTACACTGGTGCTTCTAAGCAAATAAAAATTAATTAAAAACAAAAAAAATGCACGTAAAATTTACTAGTGGAGTGAAATGCACACCACTGTCGAAACATTTGATTTTTATTTTGTAACATACTTTAAAAAATGCTACCTTGCAGCGGATTGTTAAAACCAAGAAGACCTTACGGAAGAATTTTGTTGTACTTGAAACATTCGTGGACTGCGGGGTTGTTGTGGAATAAACAGAGCATGGAGAATGATCAAAAAAAAAAAAAAAAACAAAAAAAAACTGGATTGCAACAATGTTTTAATAAAAATATAAAAGGGAACACAAAAGTCATCAAATTTTAAAAAAAGGAGAAATTGTACTAAAGATGTTTTCCAAAAACTTAATTTAATGTGTATGAAGTTAATTTTGTTATTTAAAAAATTTTAAAAAAAGCAATAAATATATTATATCATCCACGTTTGAAAGTCCTTAAAGGCCTTTGCAAATATTGACTTCACACTTTATTATTTTTAAAGTGCCACTTCAAGACTTGTAACGCGTCCTAGCTCGTAGACGGCAGAGCGGTTGCCTGCTTTCTCTGGGCCCGCTGTGTCGCATTACAAAAAAAAAAATAAATATGTTTATATAAACTGACAGCAAAATAAATGCCTTTAATCGGCTTCTTTTTTGCTGTCCTGTGTAAGTCAGTCTGCAGGTTCTAGTTCAAGTTTAGAATTGTGCATATGCATAAAAAACGAAAACTTAAACTTTTAAATAGTCATTACAACACCAGCAAGTAAAATAAATACAATTTAGCAGTAGTATAACTAAATAGTTGTTAACATATCCACATATGTTTCTTTTTTTACTTTTCAACTAGAAATTTGTTATTGCTAAAGGATTGCTTTTTCTTTCGGTACGTTAATTTATTTGCTCTTCAACGTATTCTTTCTTTTTCTTTTCTTTCACTTTTGGCAAATGCATTCCTTTTACTAAATGACTTATTTCTTGTTGTTATAAATTATTCATTATGAGGAAATTATGTAATTAGACACAAAACTTGTAATAACGTTTGACTAAAAATTCCGAGGAATAGTATACAAAATGTTTTTGGTCATTTTCTTTTGAATTTTCATTATAATTAAGCTTTAATTTCAGTAAATAACCTTTTGACTTAGAAAAATGTAGAATCAGTTACTATTTTTAGTGGTACTTCGGCTTTTACACTTTATACTCATCGTAGATCCCTCTAGAACAATTTTCTTTGCATTAGGAGCGGAACTACACATCTCTACGTATATATACGTAAACTGTCTTGGTTTATCATTTGTTTATTTCTTTTTGACTTAGGAAAATGTAGAATCAGTTACTATTTTTAGTGGTACTTCGGCTTTTACACTTTATACTCATCGTAGATCCCTCTAGAACAATTTTCTTTGCGTTAGGAGCGGAACTACACATCTCTACGTATATATACGTAAACTGTCTTGGTTTATCATTTGTTTATTTCCTCGTTTTTTGTTTGCAATTGTACATTTTAATCACTTTAGTATTATGTGTTTTTTTTGTTCAATTTACCTAAAAAATCTTTCTTATAGTACGTTAGCGTAGTAAGTTTCATAATGGATATGCTTTTTCTTTTTAACAATATTGTCGCTTATATCTTTTCTGTGCTTTGCATTTCGTTTCTTTTCTTATACTGAATTTCACTTTGTGCCTAAGATATTATGAATCTTTTTCTTATTAATATTTCTTATGCCTTTATTAACACTTTTATCGGTTTAAAAAACTCGTACTGATAACGTTTACAAGTAAAACAAATTTTTAATTGTACTTTCCTTTTTTTCCCCCTCTTTCATTTTTAATAAATTGTTACTACAAAAAAGGTCAATTATTCAGATTTAAACGTGACCATCGCATTCCAACCGATCTCCTTCACAACTCAAAACCTCTCGTAGCCAAAAAAACAACCACCGAAAACTCAAGCATAATTTTCTCGCTCTCTTGTTTCAAATTGTTTCATTTTTCTCTCGCTTGACCTGTTTGTGCATAGGGCAAGCCGCTATTTTTGTGATCATACGCTTTTGCATAACGACTTGCCGTTATTACTACACTTACGACAAAAACTGACGGGAATTTGTTCGCGGACGTTACAGACTGTAGAGATGGATGCACGTGTCATTGCTGAGCTAGCTACTTCGGGAGATATGGAGGTGTTTTACATTTTCATCTGACGGACAATGCACATAGGGTTAGATCTAAAAGAAACACACGTACTACGCCTATATAAAAATAAACTGACGGACGGAAATTGCGTCCGACGGGTATTCTACTGTACTTTCCCCTCCTCGATCGGTTTGCACAATATACAAAATAATAGTACAGAAGAAAATGTTGTTGCTTAAAAATAAGATATTGTATACCTGGAGATGTCGCAGCGCTTTATATAACTGAAGATGTCACGGTGACAAATGAATCGCCTTAAAATCAACCGGTTCATTCCAG